TTTCTTGATGGTCCCATTAGAAAAGAGAAGTCAGCTTTAAAATATAATAACTCTTTCTGCTTTACATCGAAAAATACAACTTGTTGTTAAAATTTGTAGGAATCATGCCAGTGATTCCTTGCATGCATATGACTAGTTAAAGCATGGAATCAAAATCTTTTTGAACAGGAAAAAAATTATCTGACTCAATTGATTCAGCTTTTTAATAATTGATGTCTGATCTTTTCACAGCCGTAGATTTCTGTAAAACAAGAGGGATAGGAGAACATCTTTTGAGTTAAACATCTAACTGGCACGTCTATAATTAGTGGTATCTTGAGCAAAATTTATTTCTGCAAAGGTAATTTTCTCTTTTTGGAAATTGTATAATCACTATTGAAATAAAAGTGTAGAGGAAAACTAAGCAGAGAGAACAAAACCAGGAATTAAACCTGGATCTGGTATTACATGACTTGACTCTGTCAAGAGGGTAGTGGAAATTGGTAAGACTCCATTACATGCTAGAAGATGAGCATTTGGTTAAGAGCTTTCCTAATGGGATTATTAGAAATTTGAGCCACTTAAAACTGTAAATATTTTTGAACTGATTTAAGGCTTAGTGACCTGATGCACCTGAGAATGGTTAAACAACTTTAGAGATACATTTACAGTGCTTAGAGTCTGCAGAACTTGATGTATACAAAAGGTATTGATGACTTACACATCAGTGTAAAATACGTCAAGGATTAGTATTTTGTAATTTGTCTTTTTCTGTTGCACCCTCTTAATTGTCTCACATGGTTTTTTATATGTTCTAGCTGATATTTTGACAGAAATGATTTATAAGTTTCGAGGGCAAAGAGGAAGAATGAGGATTACTTGCAGGAAGGATGTGCAAGGAAGAAAGGTAGCTGGAGGCTGAAGGGAGTAAGAGACGTAGTACAGAGGTCAGGAATAGCATCTTCCTAATGGCCACGTACCTTATGCTTCGTGTCATGGCTGCTGCTGTCTGTTCTGGTAACAGTACAGCACGAGCTTTCTTATCCAGGCACATCTCTCTTCTCCTTGGGGTTTGATCCAATGTGGAATCTAGAGGCATAAGCAATCCTCTGTCTCCTAAACTTTGAGAAGATGGAAACATTCTTTGTAAACCTTCTGGCTTGTGGAAAAGCAGGATTCTCTGTCTCATGGGCACAGATTGCCAGGACCAGGATTCAGATGATTAATTTGGGCAGCAGCTGTGTATAGCAGAGTGTTTTGAGGGTTGCAAAAGAAAAGACTAAAGTTGGAATGAGATAAGTCTCTGACTCCACTTAGGATGCGCCTGTGTGCTCTGAGTCACCAGCTGAGTGAGCGAGGTGAGAGTAATCTTGGCATAAACTGAAGTGTTTCTTCTCTTCCAGAAAATGAATCACCTACTTCTGAGTGGGTTTTTTCTGTTAATTTTTATGAAGTAAACAGTTTTCAGAGCCTTCAGTACATTCAAATATGTGGTTTTTACTGGCATAGCAAAGGACATTTCAAGTGAAGGGAACTCACTCACCTGTTGAGGCCAGTGTTTTTTAGAGTTTTCCCAGAAACACGTCTGAGTGATCAGTACAGTGCCAGAAACACTGTCCTGCAGGCACTGCACCCTTGTTCCCAGAAGTATTACCAAATAAAGACACTAATGCAGTCAAAACTGCCAAGTGATCTTTATTCTCAGTCTACTTCCATTTATTCTCCTTACTTTGTCCGCTTCCAGCTTTGAAGGGAGAAATTTTGTTGTGTTAAAATCTGGAAACAAAAGGAAGACGTTAATAGGATGTGCTGTCCCTGGAAACAGTGTGCTTGGACTAGAAGTTGTCCTGGTATCAAGGAAGCCCCAAATTGTTAGTTTTCTCTTTAATTTAACTGGTGTAAAAACTGCAAAGGTAGTGGTTGAGCAGATCACTATTACAGCAGAGAGATACAGTCTGGGAGGGGGCTGGCAGTGCTAGGAGAAGACCAGGAGAGCCTTCAAATTCTGCATGTCCTTACAGATGGTGCCATGGAGATATTCGTGAAGCTTCATGTGAGATACAGGATGCCTCGCAACCACAATTAGTTTATTTGAATATTTTTTTTGTCTTGTTCTTGGGGGAGTTGTGTCTTTTTAGATACGATCACATACTAATAAATAATGTGATATGTAATTCACAGGTTTTGTTGTAGATGTTAGCACGAAGTATAAGTAGCTGAATTTGGTGCACTGGGAATCACATTAAATATGTGAATGCATCCCTCTTGGCATTGACATGCATTTGACATGCTGTATGATAGAACAGGACCTATTTCAGATGGCCAAGTCCCGTTTTCAAACGTTTCTCTTTGACTCTCACCAAGCAGCTTAGACTTCAAATGCTTTTCCAGCTCTTGTTAATAAAGGTTATGTTAATGTTAACGTGAGCTCAAGTGCCTGACCAGACTTAGCATCATCCATTACCTGTATATCAGCTTGATTCTGAGTTCATGAGGCAAGAGGAATACCTACTTGTCGTATCATAAATCTATTAGGGACGAATTGGTGCTGACCCAGCTGGGCTGAATGTTTCCCAGTCTGACACAGCTAATCCTGCAGGAGCTTTGCCTGTGGCTCCATGTCCCATTCCTTCGGTCTGGCCTCAGAGGCAGCAAAGGCAAGCACAACATCAAGCCCAGGTGTGCAGCAGATGTCATTTGCATCCAGGCTTCATTGGCAAAGACCATAGCAAGTTACCTTCTGAAGTAGATGGTCTCCTGGACAGGGTATCCACCACTGAACTCCAGCAGCTTGTGACCAAAGGCTTCAGTATTGTGATTAGGCAGACTCCTGTCCCAACTTTCAGTGACATGGGAAAAAAGAAAAAAAAAGTAATTCTCTTTGCATTTTTCATTGCATTAGTTGAGTTTGCCCTTGACTCGCGGATTTCCTCAAGATTGTGACTTTGCCACCTGATTTTAAAATAATCCAGTTCATTTTTTAGTCCAGCACCTTAACATAATTGTCTCAGAAGATAACACAGTATGCAACTAACTGCACCCTTTATTCAAAAGATACATATCTGTGGTGTATGATCAGCTGAACTTGATTTCTGTTTGTGACCGAAGGAGATGTTGAGATACTCAGGTTGCTCTTGCTTAATCATAAAGACCTGGCACTTGAGTATTCCCCAGGAAAACTGGGACTGTGGAACCAACCTGTGATTTCAGTCCCACAGAAGTTGATTTCTTGGCTAATTGGTCATTTGGTGAGTCCTGCCTTCTGCCTTCTCTCTTTCTTTTATGAATGTATTTGGGAAATATTTTGGAAGATAATGCATATGCCTTCTTTTCCCTTGCTAGGCAAAATACAAGCTTTTCTTTTTTCTTTTGTCCTTTTTCTTTTTGCCCTTTTTTCCTCATATCTGCATAGCTGCAATTAAATAAAGAATGCCATTGGAGATTTTTCTGTATTGTTAATTAATGTTTTGTTGGGTCAAGTGCCTTCTTTTCCCTATGATGTCTTTTGAAGATATTTCTGTTGTGAGGTAGAGAGAACATTAAATTGTGCGTATTTTTCATATCAAATATATTTGAACTTTTGCAGGATAGAAAGCATATGATGTGTTTTATAATCTAGTATAATAACCATTGTGAACTTTAGTCACTGGAGCTAATCAGTAAGTGGTTTGCTGTTACAGCTAGTTGATAAGTTTTCATTCATGGCATTAAATTCTTCCTTCTATTTCTTATTTCTCTGACTGACCTGACTTTCCCATGATATGACAAAGAAAAACAGGGTGGTGCTACAATGCAGGCTAGTTATTTCTTTTGTATATAACAATTTCTAGGGAGAAAGGGGTCAGGAAAAGAATCACTACAGTTCTGAAGATGATGTTACTGCATTATGTCCAGTAATTAGTTTTTCCACCATTAATAGCTTTTGCATATGTGTAAGTAGGACTGGTCATCTTGAGCTTTCTTTGTTTTCTCAAAATATTCAACTTGTTAGTCATTAGAAAGAATCATTAGGACTTACCTAAGATTGTAAAAGTCACTGGCAGAGGGTTGCTCTTAATTAGAGGATATATAATTTTATAATTAAAAATTATATTAATTATATTTTTATCATTAGTAATATTCCGATGGGTATTTACTTTAATCCCTTCTCCTGTTTCCTGAAATCTGGCACTTTTTTGAAAGATGGAAAAGCTTTTGAGAAAGCTGAGTTTTTCTTAAATTTCAAATTTAAATTTCAGAATATCTTATTTAAAAAATTTTTAAGTATAAATTGTAAATTAGTTTACAGAAAATAAGATGTTTCTTGACTCATAGCAGTAGCTTTCTTTTGTATTATCATGTATTAAAGTAGCCTTACAGTAGAAATGGGAGGATTGTCTGCATATGATGGGAAAAACTTAAGAGGAGTGGGAAGGGAAAAAGACAGGATAACTTTTAAATGAGACAAGCTTAAATATTCAGACATATCAAAACATTATTGGAAACAGACTTTTGGACCAATTTCCTTTTGCAACCACGTATGTGCTTTTCCATCATCCTCATATTTTAAGAGTGTGGGTGGAAAATAAGCATATATTAGTCTTAAATACAAAGAATAGGCCTATATCATCATCAAATTTTTTATACGCACCTACCTTTTCCACAATGTTTTTATTCAACAAAGACAATGTGCCAGGTAGGTACGTTTATATGACTTGGGGAATATTATTTTGCATTAAATGTCTGCTTAGCGAGATACCACCTACATAAAACCTCACGTATATTTATTATGGCAAACTATGCGAGCCTGTTGTATAGGTTTATTATTTATGGGAAAAATCCTACTTAATAATATGCATTTAATAATTGAATCAGTCCTCCTAGTATCTTCAGGCCCACTTCAGAATTAAAGCCTAAAAACCATTGGAACCAACAAAAATGGCTTTATAACCAGGCATATTTTGGCACCTATTCTTTCTTTTAAATTAAGTTAGCTGTGATATTTAGTCAAATACTTTACTTGGCAATGTTTTGTTTTTCAGGATGGGAAGAAGAAGTTTGACAAGGAAAGTGAGAAATATTATTCCATCCTAGAGAAGCACTTAAATTTATCAGCAAAGAAGAAAGAATCTCATTTGCAAGATGTAAGCACTAAACACACCCTTACGCAGTTTGATATTTGCATAGAGATCATGATAACAAACTGGTTCTCTTCAAGACATGCTGTATTTTGTTAATGTAAAATTGCAGTGATTTCTTGTAGGCACACTTGTTGTGAATATAAATTATTGAGTGGGATTAATATGACCCTAATAAAAGTTAAATATTTAACGAGACAATGTTCTACATGTCCAACTTTGTGTACTTCAAGTAGAGCTAATGTTTATTGGTTGCAACAACAGAATTATATTACTACAATAAAAATGTGACTTTATAAGGTATATGTGGAATATTTGAAAGTCAAATAATTAATTGCTTTTTTTGCTATTTAATTTATTACTCAATGAAATGATGTTTCTGTTTCACATAAATTTTAATCTGGGAGGCTGAACTGAGACCCCTTTAATGATGCTTTTTTATGCTTCCTTTTTCCTCTTTTTCACCTTGTTCTGAGGTTGCAGCATCATGCCCTGAAATTGTATCCACACCTTCAGCTTTGAAGAGTCTGTATGGCTAATTCTTTCCTATTAAAAAGAACAAGTCTTCTAGTTTAACAGAAGAATTCCAGGGCTTTTCAGTATGCTGGTAAAAATAATTATGATTTGTCTTTGAGGCAAATTACAGTAAAACCAGCAATTTGATGTCAATGACACTTTGGGATTTGTGCCAAAAGTAGTTAAAAATTATTTTGATGGGATTACTGTTGTCACAGTGACTCTTAAATCACGGGGATTAGTTTGCTGATGGAGTTTTCACAGAAGATGTGACCATCACTCAGTCACCAATTGTGATTGGATTTTTTTTTTTATGTTTACCAATAATACTATAATTCAAATTAAATGAGGCTTAGCAATTAAAAATTTGTAATAATGCTTATACTGCCATAGCTGTCTATATAATAATCAGTCTAGATAACACATTAGTTATGTAGGATTGGTTAATTGTGCCACTTGTATGTCAGAGCTTTATATGTACAGCTTTCACTTTTCCTAAATATTCTGTGTATTGATGAAGAAGCAGTTCTGTTAGAGGCTAAGCGCCCGCTGAGGAAAAAAAAAAAAATCATTTCTTACCAAAATGTGGAAAAGTGAACTTAAGCACCAATTTACTCTAGAATATAAATAAAATAAAATATTTTACTCTTGAGACATGAGAATAATTACAGTCTAAAAACAGCAACTGAAGTGAAAAGTAACAACTGTGAATCTAATAAACTGCTGTAGAATAACAATGGATTTGGCTCAAGTATATAAACTAATGGAAAACCAGAGTAAATTTTTCCACTGTGTCCTTAAGTGACATCTCTGGATTTAAAATCTTGTAACTGAGGCTGAGTTTTTCGCTTTTTTGGATGCCCTACTTCTAAAGCATATAGGGCATAATTTGTCATTTCTGTCTTCCCCGGTTTTACGCAGCTGTAAGTGTGCTGAATCAGCAACATAGACCCACCATAACTAGAAGGTAATATTATTAAATATTAACCAGGGAGACTTTTGGCCTGTATCTGTATCGTAAATAAAAGGAGGCCAAGCACCAATTCCTGGCCTGAAATCCAAGTGATAGCTGTTGACTCGCATCCAGAGTGGTTGGGGTGAGGCCCATTTATAGCCCATATGTCCAGGAAGCGTTCGCTGGAGCAGCCCCCAGCAGAGGCAGGGCACGAGCAAAGAACAGAACGGTGCTGGCGGCTGGGGCTTTAGTGCTCAATGGAAGTGAAGGGAAGTCCTTGCCTCAAGCCGATGTCATGCATTTAGTGAGATGGGAATGCCATTTTTTGACTGCTACTGTCACACTGAAAAATACTACTTTTTTAACCCGCTGTTTCTTTGACTTGTTGAGGTTTCTTGGTACCTCATTGCATTATGTGGGTTAAAGAGTGCTGGGATGAGCAAGGAGTAGTTCTCATACTGTATTGGGCTATTTTACATATCTCACTTGAGTGCAATTGAGAGCAGCTTAATTAGGCATCTAAAGTTTGATGGTCTGAACGTATTCTATGGAGAATAGTTTGCATATATTCATCTAATTGAAATGTGTTGGATAGTTTAAGAGCCTGCAAGACTGCTTATGCAGTTTACATAGGTGATTAGACTTTTTTTCCTTTAGCATCAAAAAGAAACTTCATAATACTGTCTTTTCAGTCCTACGGAAGTCCATAGTGGAGCAGAAAATGGTCAGAATTGAGTGATGTGAAAAAGTTAATAAACTCCTGATTTTATTTCTGTGAAATCTGTTCCAGAATCAGGCATAAATATAGAGCAAAGGCTTCAGTCTCCAAGCTTATGTGAAGTTCTGGTATACATTTTAGTGATATCCTACATCAATGAAAATATACTCACTATAACTAGGTATCATACAAGTAGAGACTCAAAATCATATCCATCATCAAATCTTTTTATTTTTTTACATGCAGTTTGAAGTCATAGAAAAATGTCTGAAAATCCTTTCAGCTTTTGAAACTTTAAAATCACTTTCAAAGTAGTTCTTACATATCTGAATCCTCGGTGTTCACACAAATTCATGAGCTTCTGCAGAAGATATGTTTTGGAAATTATGATTTAGTCCCTGTACACTAGTGGTGATTATAGCCTTAATTTAGGAACCCATCCATATTTGAGATGGCACTTGGTTGTCATAAGTATCATTACAACTACAATCTGCTTAAATGCTGTTCAGAATAGAGATGGATTTAATTAGGTGTTTAAATACTTCTTCTGAGTCGAAGCCTGAAAGAGCTTATTTCTAAAACTAGGTTCTATTATTTGCTTACAATTAAATGTGAGAGCTGAGATCTGTCTCAAGTGCTTATTGACTGCACTTCTGTGAGCGAGGACTTGCTGGGTCGTGTCCCAAAGTGATGGCACCTGGTTCTGTTCAGTTATGTAGCATTGCCTTTGTGATACATTTTTTGTGAAATAAAACTATTAACACAGAGTATCAAAGAAAATAGTAGCTGAACGCACTACATGAATGGCACATGGCAGAGTTAATTCTGTAGTAAAGCACTTGATTATTGGAATTTTGAGTGCTTGGTTTCTCTTCATAATATTAGTTTTTATACTTAATTTCCTGATTCATTTTTTATAGGCGTGGGAAGGAAGTGCTAGTACTGAATCATTTGAAACATATCGTTGAAGCCCATGCTTTGAAGTAGTGCTAGAGCGCTGCGCTAGGGAAGTGGATCAATATTGTTAAGAGCCTGTGCGGCCAAACCGTGATAGTAGCATGTCCTTAACTAAAGAAGCGATGTTAATTGTATATGGTGCTATCGATGACCAAGTCCTGCCTAAAGGAAAACACTGACTTTTTGCATTTATACTACTAAACCTCTTTTGTGATATGTTTGCTGTTTTAATGTTTGCTATCAAGCAAAGGCAACATCTAGCTTTTCCAATTTTCCCATATTTGTTATTTTTAATGCCAAAATTGAACTAGAGAATATACAGAAGTATACTGCTATATTTTAACTGACATACATCAAAAAAGCTGAACTGGTTTTACTCATATTACCGATACTTGATAAAATTTCTTTTTGACCTAAGACCAAAACCTAACTAATGCAGCCCAAAAGGGATTTGCTTGAGAAAATGATTTGTTATGAATAAGGATAAATTAAAATGGAATCTGCATCTCTTCTTTAGGCATTATTCACATACTACACTGCTTGTCTGTTAGGTCCCTCTCCCATGGCTTGTTTAAATTGAGGATAAAAGCCTATTACTCTTTGTCAGCTGATAAGAGTTAATTCCTTAGTTGTTTAGGCAGACTTTGCTTTGGTACTTGATCTTTATGTCGGGTGGTATTATTCAGGCACTTCTGACAAGTACTGCCTTGTAGTTCTTGCATTTGAAAATTAAAACATGAAAAATAATTGATTTATGAGGTTAAGGACTTAAATATGCTTATATGCCAAAAGCATGTGACTCATACTATGAAATAATAAGTTGCAAGATGTCATTGTTAAAGACAGTCTATTTAAGAAAGAAAATAACTTCTTGGGAAGGCATTTGAAGCTGAGCAATAGATATATTTCAGTGCATGTGATACTCAAGCATTTCACTAGAAATATTAATCTCTTTGTCTCTCAATTCCTATCCTACTCTCTTCTATTTCTTTTTCTAAACTTTCCATATACCAGGGACAGAGTTCCGGCTGCCACTTTTCTTTGTTTCACTCCAGGCTATCCTAAAAACTAGAATATTAAACTGCAAAAAGGAAGAGGAAATCAAAAAGGCATGGGGAAAAGGCATGAGGCTAAAATGTGTAAAGTTAGCTTCTTAAAATTGTGTTTTGCTATTTTAAGTAGGTATTCTAATTTTCAGGAAGAAAACTGAACCCCATGAAGTTTGTAAAGTAATCTTATGGAAGATGTGTTAATGACAAAATCTGTTTTTAAAGCAATCATGAGAGTAAATGAATGTTGTCTATATTTCATTTTGTCTTTTAGGCAGATACACAGATTGACAGAGAACATCAAAACTTTTATGAAGCATCATTAGAATATGTTTTTAAAATTCAAGAAGTACAAGAGAAAAAGAAATTTGAATTTGTTGAACCTGTAAGTTTTATGTTTTATTTTCTTTAGAATGCATGCTGAAAATTGAATTCAAAACATCTATTTTTTGCTCCCTTTTTAAAATTGTGATCACAGGTTGTTTGTATATAGATGGACATTAAGATCTTGGCTTGGGCACTTTCCATATTTATTAAAGGTTTATGTAAGAGTATCATATCTACTGTGAAGTGAAATGTCCGATGGCTTGGAGTGTGCGTAACATTTTAATGGGACAACATGTAACGTTGTGTCTCTGCAACACATAATGTTTCCTAATACCATGGTTTCATGGCTGAAATTTTGAGCCAGTTTTTTGGGTTTAAATATTCCAGGTAGGCAGTGTACACATATGTTTTTCCAAGTTATACATGACGTAAAGTGAAAAATCAGTTTTTCTGTAGGATAGGTAAGTTTATGTTTTTGTTGGTGGAGTCATTTGTCTTTAGTTTACTTTGCACATAAAAGAAAGCATATGTTGACACACCATAAAAGAGGAAGATAAAGTTGTGTTTCAAAGTCCATATTTAGATCTGGGGTTTTCCCCTGGATGGTGTTTCGGCCTCCCACCTCTAACTATCTTCTGGGTCAGTCAGTACCAAAAGCTGCTTCAGTACGATATGCTACCATATTTCTGTGGTATATTAGTAGTATTACTACTGTTCATGTCATACAGGACTAGCTTGCCAATTGCCTTCTTTAGTTAGTGCCTGTAGCCCTTGACAGAGAACTTCCAATGTCATCTGTCCCTTCCCATTAAGCATACTGAGGATAGCAGAGCATCAGTTGTGAAAGAGTAACATGACAAGTATAACTTTTTCTCTCTCCACACCATCTTCCAGCTTCCTTGTAACTAACCAAAGCAGCACTCTTGACTGTGAAACAGGTTGAATTACATCTCTAACACCCAATGTCACCAAGAGCCTCCTTTCCATGAGATGAGAATGTATTGTATAGTGAATGTTTGACAATTGATGCAAACTAATGAACCTGGATTCAGCAAGCAGTACTTACAGAAATCCTATCTTTATGGCATACAGCTGCCAAATCTTAGAGACTAAAACTTTGCTCAGATTCCTAAATAAGAACATTTTTCTACCTGTCACAGACTAATCCAGAGTGTCTCTCTCTGTCTACTTCTGCAAAACTCTCACATCCTGGAAAAATCTAGCAATCTTGACCTAGCTCTGACCTTGGTATAGGAGACTTTATGCTCCTTTAAAGTAATAGAAACTTTCTGCGTTGAGAAGACTTTGTACATCAGGAAATATTATTGTGCAATTGCATATAGTTAAAATAGGGCATCGTTCATCCTATGTGCTAGACAGAGAGCAAAAATAAATTTCATTTTATATATTTTAGCTGGAGATACTAAGCTTTATCCTTTTGACCAGGAGCTGTCCCCACACTATGTCAACCATCACAGCAGCAGCTATGAATTACCAAAATGAAAGAGCAATTTATCAATTCATCTGTGCTGATACTGAGCAAGCAAGCAGGGAAGGTTACTGGTAAACTCAGTCTTGTGGACCTGGGTTTTTTTGTCACCAGGTGTACACATACAGTAGGTAAAATTTACTTTTGAATGGATCAGTTGCCATCCTGTGTCAGATCAGTAGGCATTTTAGCCCGGTACGCTGTTTGTTGCACACAGATACGGGAAATACTCTGGTGACTGGATAAACATAGCCCTTGCAGGCACTGTCTTCTGGCTCCAGGTGTGAATTTTGTATAATCAATCTGAATATAAATGGAGCTTGAATTATAACATCAGTTATAAAATCTTGAACCTTCAAAATTCTTAATTTTTTGTTTCTGGTCTGTTGCATACAACATGCTGGAATAAAAGCATTTACTAAAACCCATAAGGCAAAGTATGCCACAAGGATTATAATACACATCAGCAATACCATGAGACAAAGAAAAAAAAAAAAGTCTTCAAAATAGGCTTTCTAAAAATGCATCGTTTATGTAAGTGATGTTGGAAATATGATCATATGCTCCTAGATGCAAGTAGATAAGGACAAAGCCTAACACTTTAAAATCACATATCAAAAGAATTGCCATAGTATTCATTTTCCTCTGTGTGCTCAACGGATATTCAGATGCTAGAAGATGCCTGGTGGTGTGTCTATATAGACATTCCTCCTCAGGAGCTCTGCTAGTTGTGAGGCCTTCTAGCGCATGTGCTGCTTGTGTCTCTGATTTATCAACTCAGTGTCACGTCTCCATATAGTTCTCAGTTTGACATGTTACTAATAGGCCCTTTGAGGGAGAGTTTAACAAAATAAAAACAAGGCTGTCAGTGCAGTGAAGGAGGAAATTGTGATGCCCATGTGGAAGAGGGTAAGTTCATGACATGCGAATAGAACTTGAAAAGTAAATGATCTGCTGGAGCTCCTTCTGAGATCTTCAGTTTGTCTATACCAAAAGATAAGGGTGGTCTGGAAACCAGAGTGGGAGAAGTAGCCTAGCAAAAATTGCCAGGTGGGTTACACCTGGGACAGTAGGACAGAAGAAGTTGGTAAGAGTGGAGAATGTTCCTTCCTGGAGGAGAGTGGGGAGAGGTTTTAAGGTACAAAATGTTAATGACTCCTACTCTGAATAGAGGATTATAATATTTAGAGTAGACTTTTGCAGCTGCTCCTCCGGCCCTGGATTTCTCTGCTGTTCTCTGCATCTTGTCTCAAGGAGTTGCTAATGTGTACTAGAGTGTGAGTGACTGACAGCTGCCTATTTGTGATCCTCCCAGGTCTTGATTTTTTTCCAAGGGAAAAAAAAAAAACCCTAAAGCTTTTCATACTGAAAAGCTTAAACTTAAAGCTTTAACTTAAACTTTTTCTCAAGGACAAATTAATGTTAAAATTTACTTTACAGCAAGTTAACAAAACAAAGTAAGTGACAATAATCTCTACTACTAGCTTTGCCTTTGTGGGCCCAGAGAAGGTAGTCCAAACCAACGCAACTTTCTGAGGATGTTACAGTTGTTAGGAGAAATAACAAACTCCTTCCTAGAGCTCCACCTTGTCCCTCAGCAGCACCAGGACTTCCTTGGCCTGTAGGAATCAGGGCACAGAGCTCATAAGCAGTAAACTATCTGAAATGTGAGGGTGGTCCGTTAAATGTCATGAAAGCCCAGAAGTGTTTATTTAGAGAAAAAAAAACCAAAAACAAACCACAGCCAACAAACCATGCCTGTAATTGCATGCAGTTCCATGAGACTTCACTCAATTTCCTCTTCCTTGGATTTTCTACACTGTTAACTACATTCACTTTAATCTGATGGGTAAGTACCTTCTGGTGCTATCTACTTATAAATAAAATGAAACCAGGGAGACAGGGACTTCTGGCTGATGTGCTGCAGGCCAAAGGTTAAATTCCTCCCCTATCTGAAACCTAAGTACAGTCTTCTTCCTGTGAGAATGAAATGACCAGGCAGTCTTGAGGTCACCAGCTCTACATAAAAATAAATAAAGTCTCAAGAAGTAGTTGGATTTTGTTTCAGGTTCTGTGTTGAAATCTTTGTGGCGCTAGGGTAGTGAGTAGCATTGTATTACGGAGTTCAGACCTCGCTTTTCATTGATGTGACTGATTAGATACTCAGATTGAGGTAACTGTAAGGCACTTGTTGAAATGAAAAATCATTGATATGAACACATCAGGCATTGTATGTGATGTTTGGTGAAACAAATTACCTCTTTAGATGTGAAGACCACCTCAAAATATATACTGAAAATCTTTTTTGAAAGAAAAAAGGGCTGTTTTTCTTTTCTTTATTGTTTAATATAAATCTCTAAAAGTATAAGCCTGCCTTTAGCAGCAGTGCCACTTGTAAGACCAGCAACAAGAAAACCCCACTGTAAGCATAAGCGTAGGGCAAAAGTCCTTGGCTTTTAGATCTTCTCCATGCAATGCTATGGCTGTACCTGTCCTGATGGAAGTGGTTATGAAGATGCCTTAACAGCACAGACCCGTTGGGTACAGGGCGTTTTCTGATCCCTGTTCTTCCACCACTAGTGACATGTACATAGAAGCAAATACCATTCTCAGTGTCAGTTGTTTCAACACAGAACTTGAATAAGCTGGTCTAGGACTTGCATGAAATAAGCATATTTTTACTTTTCTTTTATTCCTGTTTTTCTAAGTGCTCAGAGAGTATTTGACCAAGAGAACCTCAAGGCCAGATCCTCTACAATGCACAATTACCAGAATACCTAAGCAGTACTTTAACTAAAGTGCATTCAGATTTTTCTCAGGGTTTTTTTGCTGCTCTTTTTTTGCTTTCTGATAAATTCAGCTTTGGTGCCATCTTGTGTTAAATATTTCCCTCCTCAGTATTTCTCCATGTACTCTGTAAAAGTGTTTTGTGTGGTGGAAAATGGTTTTCTTTAAGTATTGAAGCTGAAATTTAAACGGTTTATAGTAAATTCTCCAGAAATGCCCTTTAAACTGATCTTTAAAATTCAGGCATAAGCTGACATACTGAAACTTTCTCCCACTAGTTCCTTTACTGTAATTTTGATGTGCTCTAACATTCTGCTCTGGCTGCAGTTTTGCTGAGCGCTCATATTGCTCCTGCAGTGCTTCTTTAGCTGTAAGGGGTGGGTTTAACAGCAGGCTCCTACTTACAGGTTAAGTTAATCCACGTCCCTTTGACTGAAACAGGTCAGAGTAAGCACAGGAGTAGTTATGTTGCTATATCTGAAGGAGCTGTAGTTGGGAATGGATGAGTAACTGGATCTAGACTGTGGGCAGGGGCTTTGCACAGCTGGAGCCAGAGCAGAGCCTTGGTTATAATTTACATACTTATTTTATACTTTATTCATAAAAAAGGAGATTAGGTTTTTTTCTTTTCTTTTATGTAATTCTTTCTAGAATTACATTATAAACCTTAAAATTGTAGAACTCTTTCTATCCGTTTACATAATTGGAGATTTTAAGATAAATTGTTGTATTTGGACCTTCTTCAGAACCACTTGAATAACGAGTAAGAGACTTGCAAGGCCAGGTCCTTAGCTGAGATAATGATTTCAGCTGGGCAGATGATCATACAAAGCTGAGACAATGTACACAAGCTGTGGAGACCTTCACTTGACTGTGTTGCCTTCATTGTTTGTTTGGTGGTGATACGCGTGGTTCAGGAATTCACACCCATTGTAGAGGCCCCACAAAAAGTGGCTTTTATGCCCATGGACCTTATCAGTTCTTCAGGCTCCATGACCGATTTACTGGGCAGGCATGGGCTTTCATCACTTCTGCCTGAGGCCAGGGTTTCATCTGATCCTGCAATACCAGTAAAAACCAAGGGGGAAGTCCTTCTCCCAGCCATGCCTTTACACTTCTATTTGTGCCAGACTGATGGTCTATTAGCCTCAAACTGCTTTAACTTACTAATGCAGCAAAACAGCAGGCTTCCCAAGGCAGAGATGCTCAACTGAAGGGCTCAGTGATGCCAGAGCATCCTTGATCTCTCATCTGTCAAGGTGTGGAAGTTTGCATGTTAAAGGGTGTGGAATGTCTTGCGATGCTGGAATGGATGCGACTCTAAAATTGCAAAATATTATTTTAGCTATTCCCCTGAAATGTATGTGTTACCTTAGTACAGCAGTCTCTTAGTGAGCAACAGGAAAGAGGGACGCAGAACAATTTAACTGTATTTCTTCAAGTAGGGCTGAGTGTAAATTTAAAGAAAATACAAACACAGTAAAAGCTACATTTTTAAGCTGTTTCACTTAAAATAATCTATGGTACTGGTAACACACAGAAAAGTGCATTAAAGATGAATGATGGCATTTTTGTTGCTTGAGTCTAGGCTACTTCAGTAGTCGATGGAGAGAGATTAATGTTTCCATTGGATCATTCAACCCATCCTGAAAGAGAAGTCTGAAAAAGGGAAAAGAATTATGCTCTTGAATACCTGTGTTTTTTTACTGAGTTAGGAGGCAGCCTGGACAGCCAATTACTTAGCCTAGATGATTAGCTTTTCAATGGCTGTAATATACTGAGATAAATCTGTCCTGTTGTTATAGCTTTTGTTACTGTACATCGAAATTAATCTCTCTTTTTTTGTTGTTTTCTTTACTTGGTTGTCTGTAAGCTAAATTATATATACAAAGAAAACAGTCCATAATAAAAAATTAAATGTTTGTTATTTAATAGCAGGTAAGAAGACTTACGGCAATTTTTAAAATTTAGAACAGAATAAGTTAGAAGGCTTTTAAAACTAATAGGTGGTAGGAATGCATTAATTCAACAACTAGAATTTCAGAAAATCTAGTTGCGCTTTTTACTACTTAAACATTATTTTAAAGCAAATTTTAAAAATAATTTTCAACTGGATGCATACAGACTTAACTGTTCTGTTGGAGTCAGTCACAGACATACCAGATAGAGTTTGCATTTTGTTCAGAGCAGGAAGAAATAGTCTGGATTTCTTGTGTTGTATTAAGCTGTCCAAAACATACTTTCAAGAGTCTCATTTGTGGAAAATAGGTCATAGCCTAACCAATTACTATGAAGAAAGTGAAAAAAAAATTTGAAGGAAAAAACCTTGAACTCTGAAAGTATGAACTTGGAAAATGCACACCATCAAAGACTCCAGCTGAAATACTGGATAAAATGACTAGGACAGTGGATTAAATTATTATGGAAATGACAACTTCGTGACGCAAAAGCATGTTTAATGCCTCTCTTTCTTAAGGTCTGACCATGGATTCCTTGCTTAGCAAAGCTTTGCTATTGTGAGTAATGAAAGCTTAGAGTGTTCCAGGAGCTAAGACACAGAATGTTTTTTACTGGTGGTTTGCCATATTTTGCTGATGAAAACTAATAGAAAATCAACCCTCCTTAGTTTTTGCTTTGCAATATTCACCTGAATAGAAGAAGTGTGTAGCAGTTGCTAAGAACTATTTTTCACTATTGCAGGCAATATCTATTCCTTGTAAGTTAGTGTATGTTCTGTTATATTTGTGTTATATAGCATTAAAAGCGCATGTTAAAAATATATAATGCTTCTCAATTTTACCTTTTCAGCTCTTGGCCTTTCTTCAAGGATTATTTACATTTTACCATGAAGGATATGAACTGGCTCAGGAGTTTGCACCATACAAGCAGCAGCTGCAGTTCAATTTGCAGAATGTAAGGGTGATTTGTATTTACACCGTTTTGTTTGCTAATTTAATTTCAGGATATTAAAGTAGACTCGTAGCACTTTATTGGAACTCTAAATCTTGCAGTGTTTTAGTAAGCTGAAATCAAATTAATATATGAATATGCAAAAGTTATTTTTGGTAAGGTTAATGTAATGAAGATTCCCATCAACAAGTAACTTCGGAAAAATTTATCTTCAGATAGTTAATTTATGATTTCCAAGTCAAAATTTTGGGAGCGAGAACCAGAAAAGCAGGACACCAGCCAAGTTTTGATTAGAAAACACAGTAGTCCAGATAGGTTTAAACATGTGTAAATGCTTTTTTGAGAGTGGAGCCTGTTTTCTGGAGTAAGTGGATGTCCCAAAAATGCTTCAACTGGTATAGAATGATGCAGTTTGTTTCTTTAAGATCACAGATTGCCACAAAAAGCTTGTCCTGCTGTCCACTAGCTTCCCACTGTATATAAAGCATACTTGGGAAGCCATTCTCTGGCTGTACTCTGGATTTACTTTGTCGGCACCGAAGAACTGGTGGGGTCTTCCTTCACGGTGAGCGGTTCTCACGAGCGTTAAGTTCCACCAGAAGAAAGGATCTGTTATTTGTGTAGAGAGTTACTCTCAACTGAGCAGATGGATCTTTTGCTGTAGGTTAGTCTGAATTTGGTAGTAAGAGCCATACAAGATTAACTGTGCCCCAAAATTCCATAGCTTTCAGGAATAACAAAATTGCATTTAATCAATGTACTTTTCCACTCATCGTAACTGCTGTATACAGGTGTATATTTATTTCACTGTGTAACTCAGATGTTACAGTTCCAAGATCATGCAATTAAGTAGACACAAAACATCTTTACACCCAATTTGCATTAGAACCACTATCATTTGCTTTTAAGGCAAAAAGTGAAGTTCAACCTATTAATATTGGGCCAGCCCTACATTTTTCATTATAAGTAACTTCAAAGTACAGAACAAATTACAAAAGAGTGAAGGAATTCTTTCATTCTCTCATTTACTTCAAATGCTGTATTTTTGGGGTGATTCCATTTCTTTTCCATTTCATTTTTTCAACAAAAGATATTTACCCAACAGAAATTTTTGTAGCTCCACTAGAGTCAAAGAAGCTATGACAATTTAGAAGATCTGACATCAGCTTTTGTGGATAGTGCCTTGGCCCTGAACTTGGGGAATATGAAATGGATCTGGGAGTACAAGAGCACCTTACTGTGCTCAACTGCTATTTCCTGTGGGTTATTGGAAAATAAACCACTAACATTTTCTCTGTAGCGTCTTGCTATTAGAGGGGCATGTGTTGGCTCAAAGTTGGAAAATGGTATTGCCTTAGCACTGTTAAATGTAGATCTGTATTGGGTTTGCATGGCAAGGTTTTGGTAGTGGGGGAGCTACAGGGGGTGGCTTCTGTGAGAAGCTGCTAGAAGCTTCCCCTATGTCCAATAGAGTCCAAGATGGACCCACCCCTGGCCAAGGCCAAGCCCATCAGTGACGGTGGTAGCACCTCTGTGATAACACATTTAAGAAGGGGAAAAAGTTACTGTGCAACAGCAGTTGCAGCCGGAGAGAGGAGTGAGAATATGTGAGAGAAACAACTCCGCAGACACCAAGGTCAGCGAAGAACAAGGGGGAGGAGGTGCTTCAGGCACTGGAGCAAAGATTCCCCTGCAGCCCCTGGTGAAGACCATGGTGAGGCAGGCTGTCCCCCTGCAGCCCGTGGAGGTTAACGGTGGAGCAGATATCCACCTGCAGCCCATGGAGGACCCCACTGGACCCCGTGCTGGAGCAGGCTCCTGGCAGGACCTGTGGCCCCATGGGGAGAGGAGCCCACGCTGGAGCAGGTTTGCTGGCAAGACCTGTGACCCCATGGGGGACCCATACTGGAGCAGTCTGTTCCTGAAGCACTGCATCCCATGGAAAGGACGCACACTGGAGTAGTTTGTGAAGAACTGCAGCCTGTGGGAAGGACTCACGTTGGAGAAGTTCATGGAGGACTGTCTCCTGTGGGAGGGACCCCACGCTGGGGCACGGGAAGAGTGTGAGGAGTCCTGCCCCTGAGGAGGAAGGAGCAGCAGAGACAACGTGTGATGAACTGACCGCAACCCCCATTCCTGTCCCCCTGTGCCGCTGGGGGTGGGGAGGTAGAGAAAACAGGAGTGAAGTTGAGCCCGGGAAGAAGGGAGGGATGAGGGGAAGGTATTTTAAGATTTGGTTGTATTTATCATTATCCCACTCTGATTTGATTGGTAATAAATTAAACTAATTTCCCCAAGTCAAGTCTGGTTTGCCTGTGATGGTAATTGGTGAGTGATCTCTCCCTGTCCTTATTCGACCCACGAGCCTTTCGTTATATTTTCTCTCCCTTGTCCAGCTGAGGAGGGGAGTGATAGAGTGGCTTTGGTGGGCACCTGGCCTCCATCCAGGGTCAACCCACCATACAGGCGTACTGCACTCTTCCAGGTTTTGCTGCAATTAAACGTGCAGCACACTTCCATAGCCCCTTCCCGTTTTATGTCTGTTATTCATATGTAGGTATAGATCCCATTTAAAATGCTGCTTGCGGAAATAAGGCAAAACCTCCTAGATTGTTAACATTTTCCTTTTGAATCAAAATGCAAATGTTCTCTGTCTGTAGAGCATCTCAGGCCCTTGTCCTTTGAAGTTATGTATTTGCTACTTTCAGTTTGCTGCTAAGACTCTTTCAGATAAAGGCACAAGGGGTCAGTGTTGTTGCACAGCACAGATTCAGTGAAAGGGTGAAAAATGTGCTTCAATCCAGGGATTTATTTACTTTAATATGGCAAGTTCTGAGAGGAGCATAAGCCTGCAGCACAGATCAAAATAGTATCTTCTATGCACATATCTATAGAAATAGAATTATTAAAGAATTTTCTCAGTTTCAATGATAATTAAGAAATAGTTAAACTTAATCTCTTCTTAAGCAATATATAATTGCAACTTGAAGTTGTAAATAGGCTACAGAGGTAAAGGGAGGTGTAAAGTTAGGGAGAAGGAACAATGTGTTATGGTATTATTTTTTATTATATTTATACATCGGAGAAACGTATACATGAAGATATAAAGGGATACAGAACATCATTCACTGCTGTTACACAGAAGTTTGAATTCTGGCTCCAGATCTAGATCCACAGCTTCCTTTTGCCAGCTGGGCTGTCTACTGTCTGTCGCTCAGAGCATCACCCAACCTCAGATTGAAGTGAAATAATTTACGCAGGGAAAAAAAGAAGAATTGTGTTCAGCCTGTCTGTTGTAGCTGTCAAATGTACTCCTTTCCATTGCATTGTATGTTAAGGTCTTGGAGAATAGTTGACCTGAACTGCTGTTTCTGTTCTTAAAATTGTCCTATAGGTAGAGCAGGAGCAGTAACAACCATAGGAGTCGCAGAGCAGTGGCAGACTGACAGCTCTTAACAGATCACCATGTCCTAACATGACCTGTTGTCACTTTCACTGTTTCACCTGGCCAGTGGCTTACTTTGTATGTCCATTTGGCTTTGTTTTCTGTAATTTGATACAAAGTCCTGGCTGCTTAAAAGTAGTAATTAAAAACTTAATAGACAAACAGAGATAAGCTCTCAAAATGGGGACATTCCTCTTTTCAATGGCATGTCCCTCTGTTAAGTTTGGTCTGAACTGATACTTCACCCTAAGGATATCATCTGAAAAGTTCAGAGAAGAATTTTACCTCCCCCTCTAATAATCAATTGAATAATGTATGTCTTCAAGAAGAAGATTTAACATGTGTATTATTATACTACTCATGTGCAACTCCATGAATGGCCCACAAAAAGGGGAAAGTATTTACCAGTGTATAAAGTCCTGAGAGTATCTTTCTGACTAGTCAGGATTAGAGTCCATAAGACGACTTTGCAGAAACATTACAAAAATCTTTATTCTTTTTTATTACCTGTAGGAACAAAGTGTTCAACGTCTGGTATATTAGTAGCAACCTATCAAACCTCTGGCACCTCATAATAATTCTCCTCTACTAGACCGTGCTCAGTGTGTAGAGGGAAACCCTGGCCCCACTGAATGCAATTAGAAAAAATACCCATTTACATAATTTACAGATATCAGCAAATATGAATTACCCACCTTTGTATCTAATTGTTTGCTTGGTCAGATGCCTTGGTTACACATGATATTTAGGACAGACACAGCCTTCCATGCTTTTGGCACAGTTCTGCCACTTGTGACCTGTTTCTTACTTACCATATTTATGTTATACTTAACTATGGTTAGTTAAGTATAGCCCTATAAAAAAATGTTCGTGATAGTGCCGGTAACCTGACTATTCTGAGTATCAGCAGCTGTGGTATTACTGCAGATACGGATACACAGTACATTTGTCTCTTCCACGTGTGGAGAGACCGCAGCTGTCTAGAAACATTAGCCTGGCATTAACCTAAACCAGTGTTCTCTGCACTGTACTTCAAGTGGTTCAGTAGGACTTATTACTTCAGGTTTGGGGCTATGCTATCAGCAGCTTCTAGTTTAGCCTGGCTTCTGTCTGTGTATCCTAGAGTACACAGAGAGAAAACCTGCATCTGTCTGCAAAATACTGTGTAAGTATACCTAAAGATAGGAAATGACCTCTTTTCTGAGGTTAGTGACCTGCAGAAAGAGGAATGTTACTATTCTCAACTATGTTTCCTTTACGCCTGCGTGGTTAAGTTGAATTCTTCATTACTATGTTATTTCTAGGCTTCTAGAGCAATGAAGAGTATTATTCTTTATTGCTTTTTTTTTCCTTTTATGTCTCTGGCAAATGCTTCTGTTGGTCTCCGATACAGTCTCCTTGGCATTATTAGTAATTAGTTCTTCATTGTTGTTTTGGTATTTGCATGAGATAATGTGGTTTTTTGTTTGTTTCTCTTTCCGGGTATTAGACCAGGAATAACTTTGAAAGCACTAGGCAGGAAGTGGAGAGACTCATGCAGAGAATGAAATCGGCCAACCAGGATTACAGACCACCGAGTCAATGGACAATGGAAGGCTATCTCTATGTGCAGGAGAAACGTGAGTGAAACACATCTAACTTTTAATTTTATTTGAAAGGCACAGCAACAAATGCAAGGACGAGAAAATGGTTTGGTTAGCAGGACAACACAACAACTCTGTGTTCGAATGTCTACAGACTTCTGCTATGGTTGCTTTCCAAATGATTGAGAGGTTCAAAAGAAAAATAAATGTTTGACTTTTCAAAAAGCACTGAGAGTAGCTAAGGTCAGATGGAATGGTGATCAAAGCACTTGTAAGCAACTCAACTCCTGCCCCCTGGGTCCTTGTGGGTAGGTCCCTGCTATTGGCCACTCCAGTAGCTGACTGGTAGCAAGTTCTGCTCTGGCTAGCTGCCCTACTCCTTGCTGCAGAAGCTGCAAGCTCCCAGCACTCTGCTTTGGCTCTGCCTGCCAAACCCTGCTGTCTCTTGTACTTCTCTGCCTGAACAGGGGGCCCATAGTTCACCCAGCAGGAGCAACTTCCACTTTATACCAGGGATCTCCACTGACCCAGACACCTCAAGAGTAAATGAACGTGTACATAATGGAAAACAAAGGTGTCAGAAGAGTGTCATCTAAATACAGTCTGTCAGCTTCAAAATAGCTGCAAATCTATACCTATGTTTTATTCACTTCATGTGACATGAGAATGAAGTGATGAACTAAATGAAGGAATAGAACTAAAGTTGTCATAAGTGTCTGAAACTACTTAGAAGAGTCTAGCAATACATCATGTTATGAATGAAAACAGAACCAGGAAATATGTGAAAAGTCAAATGAGAGAATTCAAAACTATACGTCACTTGAAGTATCAGCTGCCACTGTTTTACACTCTAACCAGTATAGAAAACAAAGCCAAACTAGCTGCAGTATCATGCAAAACCCTCAGTAAAATAGTTTTCATTGCATGGGGTACCCAGATTTATATATTTATTTATTCATTTTTCTATTTGCTGTGGAATCAGCCTGATACTAGCAAAGTGTTTTGAGATAGTGTGTACATGCTTGTGCAAGTTTGACATTCATGCAAAAACTGTTAAATACAACTTTGCACCTGATTTCTCAATCTAAAAATAAATAGAAGGCATCTAGATATAGAGTTCCCATGTCAAACTTGACCCCATTCGACCTCAGTTTTGAGGATATCTTCTTCACTGCTCCCCTTTTAGATGATAACTCAAGAGACTACATGGAGCTATAGATAATTGATTTTCCAAATAACATCACAAAATTAATCTTTATTCCATATGTGAGCTAAAAGAAACAAACCTCAATCCTTATCATACTTAACCTCAGCCACTTTTACCCTCAGTAGCACTGAAAGTTTTAAGAAGACCCTCTATGTTTTAATTGAGTAATAATGATAAAAGAAACCTGTGTTAAGTGGAAATTACACTGAGCCCTGCTAATGAGGGAGGGAGAAAAGGAGTGAAGCATTGGGCACATGCTGTGCTTCATTAAATAGTGAGAGGCCAACTTGACATCCTCTTACTGAAAAGAAATTTGTTCATTAGTTTATTCTGGAGTAAGAGTAACAGGGTCTGTAATCTCTGTGTCAGTGGGGAAGGTTCTGGTTTTATATTTCCTTGTCATGCAGGTTTACTTTCCTACAACCATCATCCCATAGGCTCTTGTCAAATTATGGGCAACTGGGTTAAATGTTTGCTGTTCTTAAGAGTAAATTCTGTATATATTTATTACTCATATGCATGGTGGTAAATATAATTTCTTGAAAAAAAATGGCAGTAGGCCATAAATCATTTTCATTCAGCTGGACAGTTGTGAGTAACAGACTTAAAGTTGCAATGTAGGTGTCTGGCTACAATTTTTTAATAAAAACAGGTGACTTCTAAACTCATCTAAAACTGCTTTGAGAGTGCTTATCCTTCTTATATATGCTAAAAGAGTTAATGAAATGCTATCAGAGGAAAAATTGATTTAGAATGATAATAGATTTTGTTTTGCTAAGTGAAAATAAGTTAAAATATAGGGACAGAACAACTAACTTCTGAGGCTGGGTAGCCACTTGCCTTTTCAATTCGTGACATTATTTTCCTGCAAAACGCAGTTAATGGGAAAACTTTCTCTGAGTCGGAGTAACAGACTGTGTAACTTTCCACATCTATGTTTCTGTATTGCCAGACATCCAACTTACATGACTGATGCAATCTCTTGTATATCCACCATTTGTGTGGAAGGCTACATTTAGAAGGCAAAAGCATTGTATCTATAGCAAAACTACTAGGTTTGTTTTTAACACCTTCCATTTTTATTTAACTGTTTACATTTTTTTTTAAAAAACAAACACAAAACCCTTAAAATACTTTTTTTTTTTTTTAATAACTCAGAGCTTTTTCATTGTAAAAAGAATTAAAAGGTTCAGATATACAGTACTTTGGAAAAATCAATATCATATTTTTCCCATGAGTAATTCCCATTGAAATGAATTGGAAAATCACATGTGGGTTGAAAGTATCATCTGGTCCTTTCCTATTCTGAATTTACACAGTAGTTACAATACTGCATTATATATAAATACGTATTTTGCTTTGGCACCTACATTTGTGATGACTCTGCAGAGAGAGGGGCCATGTTTGAATGCCAGGTTCTGAAGCATAATGCTGTCCAAGAGGAAAGAAATGCTTTTCCTTCTTGGTACCTCTTCACACATAGCCATTGTGTTTGGTCTCTGCAGCTGAGAGAAGCTGCAGAAGCTGTGTCAATGCTAGTAAAATAAACGGGGCTGTACTCTGCCGCTGAGACCAGCTTGCACAGAATATCCCACCCTCTATGCTAAATTTCCTGTCCTCAAAAATCAAGATGTTTTTTCCAAGTTACCCATTGACTGTGTGTTACCTGGTCACTGTGAATGCTGCCAGCACTCTTTCTTAACCAGTGCGGTTATAGCCATTATGTATTATAGTGGGTTCTGGCCCAAGGGGGAGCAGTCACACTGCAAAAACCTGAATTATCCTGTCCTCTGCAGTGCACCACCCTTCCAGATGTATCTGTAGGAATCTGGGAGCTTGTCTTGTTCTTTGTGCTACAGTAAACATTTTTTTTCCAGAAACTGGGGGAGATCCTAGCTGTACTTCTAGGATGTGGAAAGAATTATGGAAATGGTGGGAGGATTTACTCCATGTCCTCACAGCAAATAACATATTATAAATACCTGTATCTAAGCTAGGAAGTTTAAAATACCATTGGGCTTAAGCTCAAGAGGGTTTTGTGTTTAGATTCACTAAAGGTTCACAGCAATGCCTGAGCAAAGCTCTGGGTAATCCAGGAGTGAAAACATCTTCTGCATCAGAGATCCTATACTTTGCAGTAGGATTAAGAAGTAGTGTGATGTGACCTCTCCAGGATAAGTCATACATCCACTTGCTTCGTGATTGCTGTATATTTCATGTATGGCTATATAAATTGAAGACTAGAGAATCCCTAAGTACATTATACTTGGGTATTGTGAGTGTGTGCAATTGTCAGTTTGTCACGGTCAGTTGTCCGCCACTGCTAGACCCACCTCTTCCCCAGGAGGACCCCTTCCAAGGCATAAAAGGCTGATGTTTCTTGCTGAAGGCACCACCTCTGCCACACAGCATTTTATCCCTCATCTCTAAACCACTATTGTTTTAGAGTGCACTGTTTCTTTCTTTTCTTTGCTTTCCTGTAATGAAATCACCCGTCAGTGTTCAACTATGTAGGATTAAATCTATCTCTGAGCCAATGCCATTTTACCAACTCCCTTAAGGTAACAGGTAGAAGAATAGAGTTCCTATGATACTACCAAAAGCATTTGTTACCTTTGACAAGAACTCTGAAGGTAAAGGGAAATACATTCTGACTTCATGACTTTGTCCAATTTTCTGGATCTAATACCAGACTTCAAGGTTTCCCTCAGAGAAAGTATGTAATACTGAATCCTAGTGTTTCACTTGGGTTGTTAAAAGCTTCGACTATATTTCTTAGGCAGAAAAATCCTCAGGATCTTGCCTGTCTCCTGCCTATCTACCCTAGTAAAATGCTGTTAACCCATCCAGTTGCCAAAGAAAATCAGTGTGCTGGAACTTTGTTGGGCAACCTCATCAAGCTGCAATATTTGAAAATTATACCTGAACAACATGTTCAAATTAAAAAATTATGGGAGTTTTTGATTTTGTAGGCTACATGTGGATGCTGTTATGTTTCATTTCTCTATCTAACTCCAACTAAAATAGTGATAAAATGCCAAAATAATTATTTTTAATACTATCTCTCTTTAATCTAGGACCTCTTGGATTTACATGGGTAAAACATTACTGCACTTACGATAAAGGAACAAAAACATTTACAATGAGTATAGCTGAAACAAAATCTGGTGGCAAAGTGGTGAGTTGCACATACATGAACGCATACATGAACTGTATATTCCATCTTTTATATTAAGGATTCAGGAACTGTTAAAAGAGAAAAATGTGGTGAGCAAAGCATAAGGCTGTTTTCATACGTGAAGCAGTGCATGCCTTATATAGCATAGATAAATTAAATATTTAAATAAAAATATTTCTTTTAAAACATATATAAACCACATATTAAATAACTTCTCTAATGTGGTGGTTCTAGATGCATAGGAAATCAACCACATTTGCACAGAATCATAGAATGGATGAGGCTTGGAAGGGATCTCTGGAGATCATCTAGTTTAATCTCAATGCAGGGTCGACCAGAGCAGGTTAGTGAGGCCTGTGTCCAGTCAGGTTTTAGATATCTCCAAGGATGGAGACCCCGCAACCTCTGTGGGCAACCGGTTTCAGTGTTTGACCACTATAAAAAAGCCTTTTCTTAAGTTCAAATGGAATTACCTGTATTTCAGTTTGCGCCCATTGCCTCTTGCCCTTTCACTGGGCACCACTGAGAAGAATCTGACTCAGTCTTCTTTATAGATAAATCGCTGATATGATCCCCCTTCTCCAGGCTGAACAGTCCCAGCAGCCTCTCCAGATGCTCCAAGCCCTTAATAGCTTTGGTGGCCCTTCGCTGGACTTGCTCCAGTACATCCCTGTCTCTCTTTTACTGAGGAGCCCAGCACTGGACCCGGCACTCCAAAAGTGTCTCACCAGTGCTGAGCAGAGGCTGAGGATCACCTCCCTTGACCTGCTGGCAGTGATCTGTCTGATGCAAGCCAGGAGGCTGTTGGCTGCCTTTGCTGCAAGGGCACATTGCTGGCTCATGGTCAACTTGTTGCCCACCAGGACCTGCAGGTCCTTTTCTGCCAAGCTGTTTTCCATCCTGTCAGCCCCAGCCTGTCCGGGTGCTTGAGATTATTCCTATTCATGCTAAACAGTGCTGGCCCTAGTATTGACCCTTGGGCATACCACTAGTGACTGGCTGCAGCTGGACTTCTGCTGTGAGCTCGGCAGTTCAGCCAGTTTTCAGTCCACCTCACTATCTCCTTATCTAGCCTGTACTTGACCAGTTTGTATATCAGGATATAGTAGGAAACATCCTACTGTATTAGGATGTAGTGTCGAAAGCCTGGCTAAAGTTGAGATAAACAATATTCTTTGTTATTCCATCATCCACTGAGCCATCCATCGCATTGTAGAGGGCTATCAGGTTCGTCCTGCGTGATTTTCCCTTCATTAAATCCATGCTGACTACTTCCAGTCACCTTTCTGTCCTTAATATGTTTGGAAGTGTTTTCCAGGATTATTCACTCCATCACCTTCCCAGGGATCAAGGTGATGCAGATTGGCGTGTAGTTCCCCATATCCTTCTCCTTGATCTTCTTGAAGACAGGAATGATATTTGCTTTCTCCCATTCCTCAGAAACTCCCCTGATTGCGTCAGCCTCTCCGACATTATAGAGAGTGGCCTCTCAATGATGGTAGCCAGAACTAGGAGTTAGTCAGCTTTATTCTTTAGAAATCTTTTTATCTGCATGTGAGAATTGACAGAATTATATAATATTCATTCTAGCATGTAACATATAATCATGTTATATATGCAGGTGTTTGTAAAGTTTTCAATTTAGGGAGTTTTCTGAAGTATAATAATTAAGTAACAAATACGTGACAGAAAGCTATTTAACTGTAGTCTTACTTTATATACAGAGACATTATTTTATATGTTCCTAAATAATCATCTTAAGGCATGTTCTTTGGACTGTTCATACAGTTAAATTTAAGATGTGAAGCCAAGGTATATCAGTATACTGCCTGTGCTAATTTTGTTTTGTTTTGTTTTATAGAATGGCCTTGTCACAAGCTCACCAGAAATATTCAAGCTAAAATCTTGCATCAGGAGAAAGACAGATTCAATTGACAAACGTTTCTGTTTTGATATTGAAGTATTTGAGAGGTTTGAATTTTTTTCATTGCGTTAACAAATTGAAAATAATTAAAAATAGAAGCACTTGCAACCAATATATAATAACTACTCCTGTAATAGGAACACATATTTCTGAATATGCTTGTATCTAGACAAACCAGGCTTTCAAGACTTAGTACTTATTTGTTCAAACCTGGTTTTCTAACAAAATTCACTACATTGCATATGTGTTGTCTTAACTACATTATGTTTGCATGCAGATACAAGATGGGTTCTTACAAAACCTATAGCACAACTGACTACCTCTTTTAGGAATAGATCATAAATATTTTTATAAATACTTATTAATAAGCATATTCTGTACCAATCTCTATTTCTTTGTGAAATGTATGATAGCACATAATTTTTCTTTTTTGAAAATTACTTCTACAATTTTTTTTTTTCACTTATTCCTGGGTCTTATAATTATATAAGATAGATGAAAACAGCTTTTCCGTATTTGAAATATACGTACACAGTTTTTTGTAAAGGTATTTTTTTCAAGCTTGGGAATAAAGAGAATATTGAATTAATTTTTCCCTTAAAATATTATAAATAGACTGGCTTTTGTAGTTGTTCTCTTAAGAAATAGTTTATGACTGTTACTGTAATTTTAAATTCCATTCAGAACTGCTGTTTTTACATGATAATTTTGAGGCTACTTTCAAATATAATACATTATTTTTCTAAAATAGACTTCTGAGTGAGTTCAGGTTTAAGAAATTTTATATAAACAAATGTTGAGACTAACTGGTCTCCTGGAAGCTCCTAAGCTTGAATTGTGTCATGGTTTAACCTGGCAGGCAGCCAAATACCACACAGCCACTCACTCACTCCCCCTGCCGGTCGGGCGGGGAGAGAATCGGAAGGGTGAGAGTGAGAAAAACTTGTGGGTTGAGATAAAGACAGTTTAATAGAACAGGAAAGGGGAGTGATGCACAATGCAATTGCTCACCACCCGCGCTGACTGATAACCAAGTAGCAATCGGTCCTTCCTGGATCACGCCTACCATTCATATACTGAGCATGATGTCACATGGTATGGAATACCCCATTAGCCAGCTGAGCTGGCTGTCCTGATTATGTTCCCTCCCATCTTGTGTACCTAGCTCAGTCAGTAGGCATGGGAGCTGTCCTTGGACTAGGAGGGTACTTAGCAACAACTGAAAACATCAGTGTGTTATCAACATTCTCCTCATACTAAATCCAAAACACAGCACTAGGAAGAAATTTAACCCTATTCCAGCCGAAACCAGGACAAATTGACAGGTTGAGTTTGAAATTGGTAGTTGTTTCTTTCTAAGTAGAATTGCATTTATTAGACGCATCTGTGGCAGTACCATTGTAATGTATTCACAAGTGAGTGTTGTCCTTTCTCTCTCCCTTACTCTACTAGAACGTCCACAGTGATATTTTATATTGTCCACTTGCTTTCTTGCATGCTTTGTAAACACAAGGTCTTTTGGAGGAGGTGGGAAAGGATGATGGTTTTTTGGTTATTTTTATGGTGGAAGATGAATACCTAGTGAAAACTATATTGTCCTTTATTTGTGAACCTACCATAGAAAAATCACAGTTTTGGACAGTCTGCTGAAAGTTTTGAGCAGAAATACACTACACTGGTGTGGGAGCAAGACTTTTTAAAATGGACTGTCTCTTGGGCATTCTATGTTGGCTAATCAGTGAATTAATTTCAAAGCATTTCTTAAAGAACTTGTTTGCCTATGATCACAAATAGAGACTAATTCTTTGTATTTACACATCTGTTCACGCCATTATTCCAGGAACAAAAATCAAAATATGTTCCCTCATCCCTTCACTGGTTCCCGTGAATCTTTTTCTATGCAATGTCAAAGCCTCATCAACAGAGGGGTTATGCCACTTTTTTAACTTCTGTCGTAGCGATTAGAGCACAGCCAGCAGAAAGAACTGGTTTTTTTAATCCTCTCAAATAAAAAATTCTGCATCATGACAGTACTCAGCTCAATTGGCTTTACGTCTCTATACTTGAGATACTATCTCAAAGCGCTCTTTTTAGGCCACTGTTTTAGGGCACATTTCTTTTGACTGACTTTGGATATCTATTTTGGGATATGATGACTTTTAGATTAAAAGTACCTAGTTCTCTTCATTTGCTATGAGAGGAATGTAGATAACCAGCTCAGGCATAGACATATTCAGTCAAATTGAGCTGATGTATCTTGCCCTTAAGTTTTCCACCCTAAGCACCTCCCCACTGAAAAATGTATGGGATCCCATTTGCAGGTGTATAACTCATCTTGCAATATGGAGGTGCATAATACCTATTAGAGGATTGTAGCACTTAGGACTAGGCATCTAAAATTATGTGTTGCAGTACCGAACTTCTAAAAAAACAGACCTGTATTTAAATCTAACTCAAAGTTACTGTTTTATGTCAGAAGCCATCAACTTTCTTTAACTTCTCTCTGCCTCATATGTATTCACTTCATATCAATATGCATTTGGATTGTGACTTTGGATACTGTTTGAGAAAAAGAGATCAGTAACTTCAGTATATGTGTATGTTTTTGACAGACCTGGAATCATAACACTGCAAGCTTTTTCAGAATCCAACCGAAAACTTTGGCTCGAAGCTATGGATGGAAAGGAACCAGTAAGGATTTTTTTTTTCCTTTTCTTTTTACAGTTTTGTGGCACACATATTAAAGAAAGAAGCTAGTATGCATTTCAGATTCGCTGTTACAGTACAGGCAAATACAGTTCTGTTCTTTGTGAGACACTATTGCAAGTACACGGTGAAGATAGGTACAAAGTAGAAAAGCAGAACTATCAGTGAATTTAAGCCTTTATTTATATATTATTATTTTATGTTAAGATATTTAATGTTTAAGTAATATGATAGCATATTGTCTAATAGGATTCATGGTTCAGATAACATTTGTGAAGTGGTAGTTTCTGCACTGGTAAAGTCAAACCATCTTTTGGGCAGCATCATAGAATAAACAATTAGCACCATCTTGAAAGGCACTACAGAGAGCATAAAAATGTGTTGAAAGCTACTAAGAGACAGGCTTGTCTGAGATCTCTTCCCACTACTAATCTGCTCTTAAAATAGTCACTGAATGAGGGTGATGCCAGACCTGTGTCCAAGGGGAAAAAAAATGGTTGATTGGTTTTATGAGATAGATGAGTGTTTTTACAAGCTTCTTGCTTGACTGAAACAGTACAGAAATTAGATCAATAGTTGTATTGAAATTTAACCCATTTGGAGTCTGCAAATCTGACTTCTAACACATTATAGGTGCCTATAAATTTAATGCTACTAAATCCCTAGTCAATCTAGAATCTCAAGGTCGGCCTGAATAGGTTTCTGGGACACATCCTGCTGGCACTCTTCCTCCTCCCCAGAGGTGAAGATGATCAGCTGTGTAAAACTGCAAACACAACCAAAATAGTGGATTGTTGCCCTCTCCACCTGCTCAGATCCTAGCACAGGGCTCTTAACCTGGGTTAACAGTGCTGTGGGGGTAAACTTCAAGAGAAGATGGAAGGCAAGGTTGGCTTTCCCCTAGGAGAAAGCTAATACACAGCATGTTGCAGCTAGCTTAAGAACTACCAACAAGCCTGGTAATAAAGAATTTAAAGCACAAACATTGACCTGTTGCCCTTTTTTTTACAGATCTACACCCTGCCAGCCATTATCAGCAAGAAGGAAGAAAGTAAGCTCTTTATTTATGTAGAGTTACCAAATATTGCTAGATTTCTGTAATGTCCTGGTTTCTAGATACGTGTGTGTGAGAGAGAGAGATTCATTATTTTACGTTTTCTTTCTGTTGCTATGAAATTAACTGTTGGATTACATGGTTGGGTTACATGAAAGCACATCCTAAGCTATGTAAACTGTGAGAAAGCCTTCAACTTTTGTATTACTATCAAATGTAGATTGGAAGAAAAATTGATTGGCTCCAAAGCTACAATATATTTAACAAATCTGTAAAAAGTTTCTATCTAAATGTAAACAAATACCAGTGTGTTGAAATAATATCCCTATATAGAATCATAGAATCATTGAGTCATTCAGGTTGGAAAAGAACTTTAGGATTATCAAGTCCAACTGTTAACCTAACGCTGC